GGCAGCCTGGCCGCCCGGGGGGAGGGCCAGCCCCTTGGGGCGAGAGCCGGCGTCCGGAGCCTGGCCCCGCTGGCCACTCGGGTCCCGGATGCTGGCGGAAGGCGGACGGGGAAGGGGAGAGCTGGCTCGGGCGCGCTTCAGAGGCTTCCTGGAGGAGACGGGGCGGGATCTGCAGAAGGGCGGGAGTGTGGGGAGTGGATGCTGTGGTCAGCGGCTGGGGGTCGAAAGGGGGTCTTAGCCGGACGCTCAGCTGGTGGTTCCCGGACAGTGCCTGCCAGGGACAGGGGCCCTGCCTTCCTGCCCCGGACCTTGCTGGGCCCAGCTACAGGCACCTTTGGGGAGAACCAGAGCCTGGCATTCAGGACCCTGGGGACAGCACTGGCAGGGAGCCGCCTGCTTCTGAGTGGGGTCTTCCACGCTGGGGTGGGGACCAACAAGGTTCCCCCGGGTGGGTTCACCCCAGCGATTCTCTGCATCTTCTGACACCCTCCCTCTGTCACTACTCACTATCTGGGGCCACCAGAGCAGTCCCAAGGGCAGGCAGTTCTGCTGTCCCTCAGCCCCACCAGGCACGTCCTCTGCCTCCCCCTACTAACGTCCCACACTTTAAAATACAGTAAATCGGATATAAACAGAGTCCTGCAGTGTTCTTAGAATGCTTTACTCCTTGTCAAACACCGAGCCCAGTAAGAGGTCTCAGGTGGAGGACCTGTTTGCCGCTGGTGCTGCAGACTACTGGGCGGGGGGGCCTTCTGTGACCCCTCTGTGCACCTCCTGTTCACAGGGCCCTGCCCATTCCCGTGGGCCCGGATTCCGCGGTTTGGACTTGGCACTTGCTGGAATGCTAGGGGTTGGCTCTTCCGGGCTGCCCCCACCCACCTCAGCCTTCTGCCCTCTTTTGGCAAGACCACACCCTCCACTACAGAGTGACTTTCTGACTTTCCGCCCCAGCTGCAGGATTGAGCGGTGGTCTCCTGGCCCTGACTGTGTTCTCAGGCTGGCCGTGTGTGCGTGTGTGTGTCAGAGAGAGAGAGCCAGCCTTCACTCTCCGAGCATCACATGGCCCCTGCCCAGGTGCGGAGACCTGCACCACCCACTAGTTCAGTGTGCTAGGCGTTGGTGGGGGCCCGCTGTGTGGCAGCCCGGGGTTTGTCTATGTGACGATGGCATGAGAGACAAAGCCCACCCTCTCCAGCCCTGTGAGCAGATTGGGAAGGGGGACTGAGGTGCCTTCCGGTCCAGGACCTTGGGGGCAGATGGCCGTGCCTGGCGAGGCCAGACTTGGTGGGGGGCCCTCTGTTGGGTCTGTGGGTGTTGAGTTTCTCCTCCATGTTGCCCAGACCCCTGGAATCAGGCCCAGAAGCCTGAGGGGGACCGTGGCCTGTGTGTGCACTGTGGGTTTCTGCTTACACCCTGACTGGGGGTCAGCAGGCAGCTGAGGATCAGACTCCTATGACTTCAGCAGCTGCCTTGTTCTGAGGCTGATGGGTGTGAACAGCAGGGCCCCAGGGCCCCAGGCGTCGAGGGGGACCCTCCTCAGGTCTGGGCCTGGACCTTAGGCCTGATCTACCTGAAGGTCAGAATTTCCCCCATGCAAGTTTGTGCCCCCCACACTGATCCTCCCAGGTGCTCATAGGTCCAAGACCATTGACCACCCAGAGAGGTCCTCCTTCCACACTGAGCCCATCCACTGACTGGTCCTTTCCAAATGGCTCAGTTACCCCCTCAAGACAAGCTGAATGGTGAGCTCTTTCCCTGCAAACATGCCTGCAACCCCAAGAGAGAGCAGAGCGGTGGAAGATACACTCACACCCCCTGGAAGAGGGCCTGGTTCCCCTCATCTCTGCTGGATGGGGAGGCCCAGGAAGAGGGGCCCCCATTCCCGTCTCCCTGCCAGAGAATGCCTCTCCTGGGGGCCCTTATCTCGGAAGCCCCACCCTTTGCATTGTCCCAGGCAGTTCTTAAAGGTCTTTGATTCTGGGCCACAGCTGGGAACAGTCTGGAGGAAACTGTCGTCCTGGTTTCTTCCCCTCCCCTGACACGCAGGCCCGGACCCCTCAGTCTCTGCTGGGTCCACGCCTGCCAGGACTGACACCTTCCACGCACATAAGGCAACTATGGGCTTCCCCACACATCCATGAAAACCAGAAAGGGCTGTGCTGGGTTGCTTCTGGTTGAGGAGGTTGCTATCCACACAGCAGGCAGGCATCTGCCTGGCAGGCCTGGGCGGGGCTGTGAGGGTCCTGGCCTCTGGGAGGGGACCCAAAGGGGAGGCTCCTCCAGCACATGGGGCCCCCACACGAGAGCTGTTTTCACAGCTGTGCCGGTTATGCTGACATCCCTAATTTGATGAGAGATCTGGGTGTTTACCAAGGCTGCATGTTCATTCATCCTCCATGGGGTCTTATCTGCTGCCTGGGGCTCACCATGTGACCGGGGAATGGCTCTGCAGCTTGGGAGCTCTTGGACAAAAGCTGTCTGCGAGGATACCAAAAAGTGGCCGGGGTCTGGAGCCCCCAGCCTCGGTCAGTGAAGTGTCCACCAGTGGGTGGTGCAGCCAGCTCAGGACTCCTTCAAGCAGGAGCCATTTCCATGGCAACATCCCCAAGGGAGGGACATGCCAGTTGGCAGACCTCAGCCTCCTGCTGTGGAGAGGGGACAGTTTAGGAAAAACAAAACTCAAGTGCACAGTTGTGTGTCCACTGTTTTTTTTCTGGGATGAAAAATTTCTCCCTTCCAGCTGGTGTGGCTCAGGTGGTTGTGCATCGGCCCATGCACCAAGAGGTCTCTGGTCTGGATACCCAGTCAGGGCACATGCCCAGGTTTCAGGCTGGATCCCCAGTAGGGGGCGTGCAGGAGGCAGCTGATCCATGTTGATGTTTCTCTCTCATCAATGTTTCTATCTCCTCTCTCTCCAAAGTCAATAAAAACATTAAAAAAATATACACTAAACTAAAATAAATCTATGGGTCAAAGAAATCACAAAGAAAATTAGAATATATTTGGAACTGAATGGCAGTGTAAACACAACCCATTAAAATTTGTGGGATAGCCTGTCCAGCATGGCTCAGTGGTTGAGCTTTGACCTATGATTCAGAAGATCATGGTTCGATTCCCGGTCAGGCCACATGCCCAGGCCCAATCCCCAGCAGGGGGCCTGCAGGAGGCAGCTGATCAATGACTCTCATCATTGATGTTTCTGTCTCTCCCTCTCTCTGACATCAGTAAAAACATACAAAAAATAAATAAAAATTGTGGGATGGAGTTGAACTACTCAAGAAAAATTTTAAGTGTTAAGTGCTTATATTAATCACAAAGAAAAGCATAAAGTCAGTAAACCAAACTGCCACCTTAAGCTAGAAAAGAGAGCAAATTAGGTTCAAGGTATATAGATGAAAGAATTTAACAAAGATATGAGTAGTCACGAAAGAGTAAACACTATACAAACTTAGTGAAATCAAATATTGTTTATTGGAAAATATCAAATAAATGTTATCAAACCTTAACTAGACTAATGAGGAAGAAAAAGAGAAAACACAAATTACCGATTTCAGGTATGAAGTGATATAAATAGTTTCATAACAACAGATTCCACAACTCAGATGAATTGTACAGATTCCCTGACATTCCCCAAATGCAGAAACTGCCTGAAGAAGGAAGAGACATTCTGGCAAACCTGATACTGACCCCTCCATGATCTGTCCCAGAGAACACAGATCAATGAAAAGGGTATAATCTTTGTCAACATAAGAAACATTCAAACCTCTGAAGAATTTTTGTGAGTTTATTTGAGCCAAACTGTCAACAATTCCCAGGAAGCAAAATCTCAACAGATTGAGAGAATGCTTGGGGGAACGGCAGTTTCCCACCTTATTTTATCCATTACATTCAAAAGAAGAGACGTAGCCTGGCTGGCGTGGCTCAGTGGTGAGTATCGACCCATGAACCAGGAGATCGAGGTTTAATGCCCAGTCAGGGCACGCGCCCACCTGGGTTTCAGGCGTGATCCCCAGTGGAGGGCATAAGGAGGCAGCCGATCAATGACTCTCATCATTGATGTTTATCTCTCTTTCCGTCCCTCTCTCTGAAATCAATAAAAACAGTAAAAAAAAAAAAAGACTATGTGGGTTACATGAAATCCACTGGTGAAAGGTGATGGCGGAGGAAGAAAGGAAAGCAGGGAAACCTCTGGGACTGGGTAAAAAGTAAAATGATAGACACACACTCAGGTGGGTGCAGGATAGTTAACAGTCAACAATTAACTCAATGACAATGAGGGAATTTGTGGTCTCTGCAGAGTGGTGCCTGTGCCCTGAGGGGTCCAGAAAAAGGAAAATTACTTTGATGTTCCAGCGATATGTTATTGTAGATGCAAAAAGACAATAGACTCAGGATAAAGATGGACCTTTGTCAGGGAAGATACCAGCCTGGGACATGACTACCCACCATAAACTGCTTTTAGTTTTAAAAGTTTTAATTCCAGACCATCCTTTATGGTTACTTTAGGTTTCCGAGTCTGCAAGGCAGCCACGCAGGCCTGCCCTGAACTTGTCAGGTTAGCATGTGGCCCCTTTTTGTCCACAGTGTCCAGGCCCCACTCCCCCCAGCCCTGGCGGCATGTCCCCCCTCACAGGTCAGCCGTCTCCCACAGGCTCTTACTCCAGCAGCCTCTCCAGTCCCGGGAGCACATCAAGATCCACCGCCACCGCGTCCCGCGGTGTGTCTCAGGGGCTGAGCTTGGACCCAGGAACCAAGCGGTCACAGTTGGAGTCCGGCCAGAGCACATGCCAAGGTTGCCTGCGGGCTCCATCCCCAGTAGAGGGCGAGCAGGAGACAGCCCATCAATGATGTTTCTCTCCCCTCTCATCGATATTTCTATCTATCTCGCTCCCTTCCTCTCTCTTTAAAAAAGAAAAAGGGAATAAAAGATCCACCGCTTCTCCCGGGCACCTGCCTCTCCTGCTCAACCTGGTCTGGACCGCTGTAGGTCCCATAGCAACAGCACACGCCGTTGCTAAGCGGAACTGACGTATCCCACGTCGCACGTGCTTCCCGGGCTGTCAATTCTGTCCCTCACGGGACCCCGTAACCAGGCCCCCTTGCCCTGCCCTCAGGCAGCCCGCCCCCAGAGCGAGCTCGGGCAATCGCGGCGCCGCCTCCGATGACGTCATGGTCACAGTGGCCAATCCGAGGGCCGCGCGGGCAGGGGCCCCTCACGCGCTTCCGCCGCCAGGGAGGAAAAGGCGTGTCTCGCGCTTGCGCAGTGGCGCTGACCGCAGGTTCGCGGCGCGTGGAGGCTGCTCCTAGGCGCGCGCGCCCGCTCGGCTTGGGGTGCAG